TATCCCATCTGGGAGATTTTAAACTTTAGATAATTTCTGCAATAATGTATTTATTTAGTTATTAATATATGTTTATTTTAACAAATATTTAATAGCACAACTATGAAGAAGGATAGAAAGAAGAGAGCCAAAAAGAAATAAAAGAGGACTTAGATACTGGGTCAACTTGAACAAGAATTGTCAAAATAACATTAGGTTAATATTACATTATCAAATCAATGATCAATAATTAGCAAAAGTAACCAATATGGTAAAAATCATCAGGGTGAACAATTAATTAAAATTTCCATCAAATTTCAGAGACCCATCATAACTAAACAAATAAAAGCCAATATTTTAAAACCTTGTGTCAAGAGAATCCTGAACTTCTAATGCAGTACAAGTCCATGTGCAGAATTATAATACATAGATATTTGTCCATTTGTTTTTCCAGGGTTTCTCAACCTTGGCAACTTTAAGATGTGCAGACTTCAACTCCCAGAATTCCCCAGCCTGATAAACTAGAAAAATGAATATAATCAGTACATATACCCAGGAGGAATCTCGTTCAATTTATCTCCTTCTCAGATTTTGATTGCTTTCCTGAACGCCAGTAACACTGGGGCAAGTTGAATCTCCAGGCATGTGCTGTTCTGGAGAAAGGGAGGCAGCAACCGGGACTGCCGGTGGGGCTCCGATTGAGCGAACATTTTAGGTTTCCTTAGTTTTTGTTTTCTTTTTCCATGAGAGTACTATTTTATGGCTTATGCTATAGTTTTCATGGGTTTCCTGATGAAAAAAGGGCAAGAAACCATGCTGTCAGTTTTCAACAATCACGGTCAGAGATACGGTTGCTCTGTCTGGTCTGGTTGATCATTAAGAACAATAAGGAGGTACCTCAAACTCTAATTCTTGCAGCTACCGAGTGATCACCTGGAATTTTGCAAGCCCAGATATGACAACCCTTCTTGGAAGGCCATGGAAGACGTTTATGAAGTCAGAGGTGGCCCTGGGTTAGGACAACGTAGAAGAAATGCATTTTGGCTATAGAGGCCCTTGGTTATCCTAATCAAACAGGCCAGGGTACAGTACAGCTGAATACTTTGATCCTACTGCACTGTGGTGTTTTGTTCCAGGTTTAGCTTTGTTTAAGTTAATGCAAAGGCTGTTCATCTTGTCTAGAATTGTTTTTCTACAGTGTGCAACAAAATCTGTTCTATGCCTGAGTTTTATTTGCTGTGCCAATCAAAACACTTGGGATATGCACAAACACATATGTCTCCATCTTCCCTATCAACCTTGATGTCCGGGAATGTAAAAGGAGCCAAACACAATTCAGAATACAAAACTTTACGAATGATGCCTTTCAGTTGTCATTTTTTAAGTGAAGACAGACGTGGCTTTTTTCCCCCCACAATCCATTTGATGCTCACAATAGCCTGCGAGGTAATCTGGTGGGCTTCCTTGTTGAATGGGAACAGCCATTTCCTGTTCCCCCTCCAAACACAAACCTCCGTTGCCTTGTTCTTTATTTCACCCTTTATTCATATTCCCAAGGCAATTTACAAAAACGAATAAAGTAATTAAAGTGTAAATGCCAAAAGATTTTTTTTTTTTAAAAAAAGCATCAATAACATAGTAAATGCAGCAAAATAATCATGTTTAAAATTGCGTCTCAACGTCTTTGAAATGATAAAACATCTTTTCCAATTCATCAGTGGCTTATAATGGGGTTAAAAACATGCTTGTTC